CAAGATCAAAATACGGCTTTCAGAAACATTGCTCTAGCTCAAAGTGGAGAGCAAACCAAGTAGCAGTCAGGATGCTGCAACAGACCCAAGAGAAAAAACAGTAAAACTGAATTAAGGCAATAGCTATGAGAATGAAGAGAGGCAGGTGGATGAGCTATTCAGGAGGTAGGATCAAAAGGTAAGAGCCACCTAGGAAGTCTCTAGGTTTTTGGCTGGGGCAGCTAGGTGAGAGTAAGGGTATAGCTATAATAGGAGAAGCAGGGATATGGGGCAAGGTAAGAAGCTCTAGAAAAATCAATTCCAAGTTGAGTCTGTGGACACTCTCCCAGAATGAAGGCATGGTTGTAGCCCTCTGCCATATTTACCCTTGGGATATAAGCTACAGGAGGGGTTTGAAGAAACCTTTTTTTTTTTTCTTTCCCCTCTGTTCACTTACCATGACTTTTAGATGAGTGTGCAAATTCAATGCCAGGAAACCTGTGATTAATGCAGTTTTCTAGCAGGAAACCAAAATGAGAAGGGTGGCACAGGTAGATGGCCAGCACAGGTTAGACCAAGCCTCTAGGGTTCTTAAGCTACAGAGGACCGAGACTTTGATATGGGGGCTCAATTTCAGGCCTTCTCCTCAAGATCTCATTTTGACCACAGTGTGACTGAGTCCTGTTTTTTTTAGTCGTTATTGTGAATTTACTCTGAAGAGTTCCTTAGGGAAAGGAAAACCCTTTGGGTTTTTCATACTTGGTATAATTAGGGACCCTTTGTTACAAGTGCCTACTACTACATAGCTTACAGAGTGCTTTCACAGACATGGTGATTTTCTATTTACACTAAAACAGGGATTATTCTTTCCATTCTATGGGTTATGAAACAAGACTCAGAGGTGAAAACAGATTTTTCAAAACCACACAGCTATAAAGTGTAAAATTATTCACTCATATTTGATAACATTCCATGTTGGCAAAACAAGGGGAAATGGAAGTCTCAGATACTTACGGTGAGAGTATAAACTGGTCTGGTCTTTTCACAATAGCTCATTTCCATTAAGTATTAACTGTGGTTACCAGTTATTTGGCAGCTCCACTTTTGGGTCTCTATCTTAGCCTCAACCCCCCCCCCCCCTTAAACAAGAGAAAGGAACTTGCAGTCAGAGAGCAAAGTCAACCAGTTGGAAGGAAGGTCAGTACAGGGGCACATTATCAAGCTCGTCACCACTGAATGCAACTAGGGCTCAATCCTGCTGGTACCCTCTAAAAACACGCAGAGGACATCTAGGAGAAAGAAGAGGGGGGCATTTATTCACAGGTTCCCACCCTACATTCGTCAATGATTGTCCCATAGAATGTTCACTCTTTTACACCTCCAGGTTTGCCACATGGATTCCCAGAGGGATCCCAAGAAAGTATTCATGTAGTAATCATAGAGTTAAAAGTAAAAAGGGGGGGAATCCCTGGGTGGCTCAGAGGTTTAGCGCCTGCCTTTGGCCCAGGGCACAATCCTGGAGTCCCGGGATCGAGTCCTGCGTCGGGCTCCCCGCATGGAGCCTGCTTCTCCCTCTGCCTGTGTCTCTGCCTGCCTCTCTCTCTATGTCTATCATGAATAAAAAAAAATTAAATCTTTAAAAAAAGATCTTATTTTAAAAAAAAAAGTAAAAAGGGGGATCCCTGGATGGCTCAGCGATTCAGCACCTGCCTTTGGCCCAGGGCGCAATCCTGGAGTCCCGGGATCGAGTCCCACATCAGCCTCCCGGCATGGAGCCTGCTTCTCCCTCCTCCTGTGTCTCTGCCTCTCTCTCTCTCTCTCTCTATGTCTATCATAAGTAAATAAATCTTTAAAAAAATAAAAATAAAAATAAAATAAAAGTAAAAAGGTTTGGGGGAGACCTGGGCCTGGGGGCTGAAGTTGGCACTGGAACACAGATCTCCAAAGTGAGGTCTAATTTTCAGAGTTTGACAGATAGGGCTCTGTGGAACCAGAATCAAGGAGAATAGAAGCCAGCCCCTGAAGTGGGGAGAGAGGCCTGGCAAGAGATAGGCAGGATGATTTCATTTTCTGCCACTGGAGACTATCCATATTCCATAGCATAGTGCACAGAGAACATTTGACATCCTGCAAGCAGTGCTACCAATGGTCAGAAAGCAGCAGAGACAAGGCCAGCCATGCTCAGTCCTGGGGCCAAAGGCAGAAAATTAAACCAATGATTACCAAAAAACAGTGGTTCTCCAATATCGTGGACATGAGATTCACCTGCAAGCTTAATAGAGATTTAGATTTCTGGGAACCCCCAAAATTCTAATTTGGGTCTTGATAAGGGCCTGGAAACTACATTTATAATGGTAATTCTTGATCCAGGCCCACTTTTGAGAAACACTGCTCTAGGGCCTAGACTCTGAGACCTTTGAGGGCAGGAACTATCTCATTTATCCCTGGTTCCCTCTCTCCTCCTGCCACATAGAAACCAGATAATTGGGGCAGCCCCGGTGGCCCAGCAGTTTAGCTCCGCCTTTGGCCTGGAGTGTGATCCTGGAGACCCTGGATCAAGTCCCATGTCAGGCTTCCTGCATGTAGCCTGCTTCTCCCTCTGCCTGTGTCTCTGTCTCTGTCTCTCTCTCTCTCTGTCATGAATAAATAAATAAAATCTAAAAAAAAAAAGAAAAAGAAAAAGAAACCAGATAATTGTCCATTGAATCGAACATCGAACTGTTCAAATCCAGTGTTCCAAAAACTATATTTCATGTGGAGTCAGCTCCAGTCTGTACTCTCTCTTTACCGGCAGGCTCTGGGACTTGATTTTACCAGAGATCAGTCCAGTAAAAAGTGATTAACACTTAGCAGAGACCAGGTTATAAGCCATGAGGCCAAAGAATTCATTAACATGAGGTACAACTGCAAAGCAGTTGGCTGTTAATACATTTTCTTCTAAGAGCAGAGTCCAACTATGAAACTATTGCTTGGTGAATAAGAGGTCAGAGTAAATGGAATTTACTGATTTTTAGGCTTAAATTGTTAGAATGTGACACAAACTGTGAGATAATATATATGAAAGCACTATATAAATCAAAAAGTGCTATATTATATGTAAGATATTACTAACATCATAACAAAAATTTTATGCCAACAACAGAACACATAGATATATAAAGCAAATATTAACAGATCTGAAGACCGAAGACAGTTAGAACAAGGGGACTTCAGTACGCCACCTGCAGTAATGAATAGAATAATCCAGACAGAAAACGATAAAGGAACAGTTGACTTGAACAACACCGTAGATCACACAGACTAATAGACATTAGCAGAATATCCCACCTAACAGCAGCAGAAAACACCTTCTCAACCACACACGGATCTTCCTCCAGAACAGATCACGTTAGGCCACAAAATCAGACTTCAAAATTAAGAAGATCAAAATCATTCTAAATATCTTCTCTGAACACAATGGAATGAAACTAGAAATCAGTAACAGCAAGAAAATGGCAAAATTCATAAATACACGGAAACTAAACAACATACTTGAACAACCATTGGGTCAGAGAGGAAATCGAAAGAGAATTTGAGGGACGCCTGGGTAGCTCAGTTGGTTAAGTACCTGATTTTGTGATTTTGGCTCAGGTCATGATCTCATGGGTGGTAGGATCGAGCCGCAGGGAGTCTGCCTGAGTTTCTCTCCCCCCACCACTCTTTCTCTCTCAAATAAATAAATAAATCTTTTTAAAAAGGGGAATTTTTAAAATATCTCAAGACAAATGAAATTGAAAACACTGTGTACCAAAAGTTATGGGACGCAGAAAAAGCAGTACCAAAAGTTAGGTTTATAACAATAAATGCCTATATTAAAAAAGAAGAAAGATCTCAAATTTAGAAACCTAACTTTATACTTCAAAGAACTAAAAAAAGGAAGTACAAACTAAGCCCAAAGTTAGCAAAATGAAGGAAATAATAAAGATTGGAATTGAACTAAAAAAAAAAAAAAAGGAGAATAAAATAATAGAAAAAAATCAACACAAGTTAAGAGTTGGCTTTTTAAAAAGACAAATAGTGGGCGCCTGGGTGGCTCAGTTGGTTAAGCATCTGCCTTTGGTTCTGTTCATGATCCCAAGGTCCTGGGATCAGCCCAGCATCAGGCTCCCTGCTCAGTGGGGAGTCTGCTTCTCCCTCCCCTTCTGCCTGCCTCTCCCCCTGCTTGTGCGTGCTCTGTCAAATAAATAAATAAAATCTTTAAAAATAAATAAATAAAAATCTAATAAATAAATAAGATAGATAGATAGATAAATAGAACTGACAAATCCCTAGATAGACTAAGAAAATCATTGAGAAGACTCATGTGAAATCACAAATGAAAGAGAACACATTACAATGGATGCCTGAGAAACAAAAGGATCATATAAGGTTATTGTGAACAATTTTATGCCAACAAACCACATACCCCAGATAAATGGACAAATTCCTAGAAATATACAACCTACTAAAATTTGAATCAAGAAGAAATAGAAAGCCTGAACAGACCCATAACAAATGAGGCAACTATCGGTAATCAACTTTCCAGTAAGAAAAGCCCAGGACCAGATGGCTTCACTGGTGAATTCTACCAAACATTCAGAAAAAATTAATACCAATCCTTTACAAGTTCTTTTAAAAACAGAAGAAGAGGAACCACTTCCAAATTCATTTTAGGAGGCCAGCTTCACCCGGATTCCAAAACCAGACAAAAACCACAAAAAAAGAAAACTACAGGCCATTATCCCTAATTAATATAGATATAAAAATCTTCAAACAAAATTCAATAGCACATTAAAAAGGATCATATATCATGACCAATTGGGATTTATCCCTGGGATGCAAGGGATGATTCAAAATATACAAATCAATCAATGTGACATAATATATTTTAAAAATGAAAGAAACCACATGATCATCTCAGCAGACACAGAAAAGGTATTTGACAAAGTTCAAATTCATTCTTGATTAAAATTCTCACCAAAATGAGCATAGAAGGAACTTACCTCAAGATGATAAAGGCCATACGTGAAAAGCGCGCAACTAATATAATCAGTTGGGAAAAACTAAAAAGCTTTTCTTCTTAGATCTGGTGCAAGGCAAGGATGCGCACTTTCATAACTTCTATTCCACATAGTACTTGAAGTCCTAGCCCGAGTAATTAGACAAGAAAAATAAATAAAAGGTATCCAAATCAGAAGGGAAAAAGTAACATTATCTGTGTTCATAGATGACATTATTATATATATAGAAAACTCTGAAGACTCAACAAAAAAACTGTTGAAACTAATAATCAGCCAAGTTGCTACATACAAAATCAACATGTAAAAATCAGTAATGTTTCTTTTTTTTAATTTTTTAAATTTAAATTCAATTAGCCAACATATAGAACATCATTATTTTCAGATGTAGAGTTAGGTAATTCATGAGTTGCATGTAACACCCATCACATGCCCTCACATTACATGCCCTCCTTAATGCCCATCACCCAGTTACCCCATCTCCCCTTCAGCAACCCTCAGTTTCTTTCCCATAGTTAAAAGTCTCTCATGGTTTGTCTCCCTCTTTGATTTCTTCCCATTCCGTTTTTCCCTCCCTTCCCCTATGATCCTCTGTACTGTTTCTTATATTTCTCTTATGAGTGAAACCATATGATAATTATTTCTCTGATTAACTTATTTTGCTTAGCATAATACCTTCCAGTTCCAACCATGTTGATGTAAATGATAAGATTTCAACCTTTCTGATGGCTGAGTAATATTCCATTTTATATATATACCATATCTTCTTTATCCATTCATCCATCAATAGACATCTTGGCTCTTTCCATAGCTTGGTTATTGTGGATTACTGCTATTAACATTGGGGTGCGGAGGCCCCTTTGGATCACTACATTTGTATCCTTGGGCAAAATACTTAGTAGTGGAATTCCTGGGTCATAGGATAGCTCTATTTTTAACTTTTTGAGGAACCTCCATACTGTTTTCCAGAGTGGCTGCACCATCTTGCATTCCCACCAACAGTGTAAGAGGGTTCTCCTTTCTCTGCATCCTTGCCAACATTTGTCATTTCCTGACATTTATTTTAGCCATTCTAACTGGTGTGAGGTGGTATCTTATTTATTTACAATAGTCATACAGAGAGAGACAGAGAGGCAGAGACACAGGCAGAGGGAGAAGCAGGCTCCATACACCAGGAGCCTGACGTGGGATTCGATCCCGGGTCTCCAGGATCGCGCCCTGGGCCAAAGGCAGGCGCCAAACCGCTGCGCCACCCAGGGATCCCTGTGAGGTGGTATCTTATTGTGGCTTTGACTTGTATTTCCCTGATGCCAAGTAATGTTGAACATTTTTTCATGTCTGTTGGCTGTCTGTATGTCTTTTTTATACAAGTTCCTATCTTCTGCCCATTTCTTGACTGGATTATCTGACTTTTGGGTGGTGAGTTTGATAAGTTCTTTATAGATCTTGGATACTAGCCCTTTATCTGATATGTCATTTGCAAATATCTTCTCCCATTCTATAGGTTGCCTTTTAGTTTTGCTGTTTCCTTTGCTGTGTAAAATCTTATTATCTTGATGAAGTCCCAATAGTTCATTTTTGCTCTTGTTTCCCTTGCCAGTAGTGTTTCTATACACTAACAACAAGCTATCTGAAAACATAAAAGGAAAATTAAGAAGGAAATTAGGAAGACAATCTCATTTATGATAGAAAATAAATTCATTAAATAAAATACTTAAGAATAAACTTAACCAGAGAGGTGAAAGATTTGTACACTAAAAGTTATAAAGCACTGATGAATGAAATTAAAGAAGATAATAAATGGAAAGTGTTCATGAATTGGAAGAATTAATATTGCTAAAATGTCCATACTATCCAAAGTGATCTATGATCTACTGATTCAGTGCCATCCCCATCAAAATCACAAATGCATTCTTTACAGAAATGAAAAAAACAACTCTAAAATTTATATGGAACCACAAAAGACTTCTGAGTAACCAAGTCAATCTTAAGCAAAAAGAACAAAGCTAGAGGCATCATACATCCTGATTTTAAAATATGTTACAAGCTATAGTAATCAAAACAGGAATAGAAACAGACATATAGACCAATGGAACAGAATAGAGTCCCAAAATAAATCCATACATCAACAGTCAACTGATCTTTGACAAGAAAAGATAGTCTCTGAAGTAAATGGTGTTGGAAAATTGGATATCCACATACAACAGAATGGAATTGGACCCTTATTTCATATCATATATAAAGTTAACTCAAAATGTAGACTTAAACGGAAGAACTGAAATCAAAACTATCAGAAGTAAACGCAGGGAAAAAACTTCTTGACATTGGTCTGGGTGATGATTGCTTGGATATGACCCTAAAAGCACAGGCAACAAAGAACAAAAATAGACAAGTGGGATTCCATCAAACTAAAAAACCTTCTGCATAGCAAAGAAAACAATCAACAGAATATAAAGACAACCTATAGAATGGAAGAAAATATTTACAAATCATATTTGATAAGGGGTTAATATCCAAAATATATGGCTAAATAAATATAAATACCCCAACTTAAAACTGGGCAAAGGACTAAATAGGTATGTCTCTAAAGAAAACATACAAATGACCATCAGCTATATGAAAAGGTTCTCAACATCACTAATCATCAGAGAAATGCAAATCAAAACCATAATGACCTCACACCTCACACTTGTTAGAATGGCCATTATCAGGCAAATGATAACAAATGTTGTTGAGGATGGAGAAAAGAGAACTATTGTGCACTTTTGTGGCAATGTAAACTGGTATAGCCACTACAGAAAGCAATATGGACGTTCCTCAAAAAATTAAAAATAGAACTATCTTATGATCCAGCAATCCCATTTCCAGGTATACAGCCAAAAGAACGAAATCAGAATCTTAGAGATAGCTGCACTCCCATGATCATTTCAGCATTATTCACAATAGCCAAGATATGGAAACAATGTAAAGTCAACAGATGAATAAAGAAAATGTGATATATAAATATACATAATAACTGATATATAAATATAATATAAACATAAATATATTATCTCCTGCCATTTGTAGCAACATGGATGAACCTGGAGGACATTACGTTAAGTGAAATAAGTCAGACCCAGAAAGATAATATTGCATTATCTCATTTATATATGGATTTTAAAGCAGACAAACTCATAGAAGTGGAGAGAGTGGTTGTTGCCAAGGGCTGCGGGAAGAGGAAATGAAGAATTGTTCGTCAAGGGGTACAAAATTTCAGTTATGCAAAATGAATAACTTCTGGGGATTTAACATGTAACAATGTGACCATAGTTAACAATATTGTATATTCTTGAAATTTACTAAGAGGGTAGATCTTAAGTGTTCTCATCAGAAAGAAGGAAAGAAATAGGGGCACCTGGGTGGCTCGGTGGTTGAGCTTCTGCCTTTAGCACAGGGCATGATCCTGGGGTCCTGGGATCCAGTCCTACATCAGGCTTCCTGCAGGGAGCCTGCTTCTCCCTCTCATTAGGTCTCTGCCTCTGTGAGTCTCTCATGGATAAATAAGATCTTAAAAAGAAAGAGTTATGTGAGGTGATGGATATGTTAATTAGCTTGAGTTCATTATTTCACAATGTATATCAAATTATCTGGGTGTACACCTTAAATACATATAATTTTAAGTTGTCAATTGTATCTCAATAAAGCTGGGCGGAAACATGCTAGAGGCAGTGTGCATAGGAATAACGCAAGCAAGCTCTGGAGTCAGAACAGTGTTCCGCCGCTGTTTATGAAATCTTAAGACGAGTCATTGAAATTCTCTGAGCCTCAGTTTCCCAGGGCTGCAAAACAGAAATGACAGTACTTACCTTTCGGAGTTTTTTGTTGAAATTAAATGAGACAGTGTACATAAAGTTTTGTCACGGCTTATTGCCCTCGATGAGTATTCAATAGATGTTAGCTAATATTAACATTCAGTTCCATTTCTTCTCAGTCACCAACTCCAATATCAGGCAGGTAAATAATACATTAGTAGGATGAGAGGAGCACAGAGCTGGTGGCAGGCACCTGCTAGGCTCCCGCCCCTGCTAGGCGGGTCCTGAGTGGTCATCATTTTACACATTTAAGCCTTTTTTAGATTTTATTTATTTATTCATGAGAGAGGCGGGTCCTAAGTGGTCATTTTACATATTTAAGCCTTCTTAAAAAGATTTTATTTATTCATGAGAGATTCAGAGAGAGAGAGACACAGAGGGAGAGGCAGAGGGAAAAGCAGGCTCCCCACTGAGCAGGGAGCCAGATGCGGGATCACGCTCTGAGCCAAAGGAAGATGCTCAACCGCTGAGCCACCCAGGCGTCCCAAAGTGTATGCATTAGAATAAAAGGGGGCAGCCCTGGTGGCTCAGCGGTTTAGCGCCGCCTTCAGCCCAGGGCGTGATCCTGGAGGCCCGGGATGGAGACCCACGTCGGGCTCCCTGCGTGGAGCCTGCTTCTCCCTCTGCCTCTCTCTCTGTCTCTGTGTCTCTCGTGAATAAGCAAATTCTTTAAAAATCTTAAAAAAAAAAAAAAAGGTAAATGACACCTAGCAACATCGTTCACTCATTGACTTAATTCCTCCGTTAATCAATAACTTACCCAACGCTCATAATATAGACTTAGTCCTAATTCTAAGTACTCGAAACCGGGAAATGAATGAGACACGGCTTCGATGTGCAGGAACTCACAGTCTACGAAATCTGAAACGAGATAAGGCCTGTGCAGATCTCCTACAGGTCAGTGACAGGGCAGTCCAGAGAAATTGCTGGCGCGACTCCTAACTTTCCAGTCCCAGAGGACTCTGTCCCCGAGACCCTCCCTCTGCCTTCCGAAGGTCGGCCTGGAAGGCGAGGGCAGGAGGGGCAGCTGTCAATAGAACAAAAGAGCAGCCTTTCTTTTTGGGGAGAAATAAGGAAAAAGGAGAGCACCGGCCTGTCTGTGTTCGATCAGTTGACTGCGTGCTTAACCACAGAAAGGCCGGACTTCCCGTCCAGGTAGCCAAAGTTCACCGAAGCGCCGGGGAGAAACCGGGGATGCCCAGCTGCGCACGCGCACCGCCTTCCGCCCGGCGCCCCGCGCCCCCGCGGTCGGAAGCTTGACGCAAAGCGTCGGACGAAAGACGTAGGAAAGGCGGCGAGAGAAACGCAGGCTCCCGGGTCACGTGACGCGGCAGGCGCGTCGTCGGCTCCTCCCCCTCCAAGATGGCGTCCTTGCTGCAATCAGAGAGGGTTCTCTACCTCGTCCAGGGAGAAAAGAAGGTCCGGGCCCCGCTGTCGCAGCTTTACTTCTGCCGCTATTGTAGCGAACTGCGGTCGCTGGAATGTGTGTCTCACGAGGTAATGCGGCCGTCCCGTGCCGACTGTGTCTGTGTTGGGGGAGGGGGGCAGGGTTCGTCCTAGTCACCGCGACTGGCGGGTAGTCATTTTCCTAGTTGCCGATTGGCTGTGTCTTCCGTCACTCAGATATGCTTGCGATTTAATTTGCCTTATGATTTGTCATTTGGAAAGAAGGCGAGGCCTTGGGTGGGGCTGAGCGGATCTTTTGGGTCTAGGGCGCCCTCTGATTGGACAAACCTGACTTTGGGAGCCCTGGCTGTGTCCTGGGGGGTGGGGGTGGGGGTCTGGTAATTGGGTGGGTTGGGGAGGAAGCTGTGGGGGTGTTGACTGGGGCCCACCTGAGGGGCGACGTGCCGTCTTTCCACGACCGTCTGTAGGGTGGAGCCCGCAGGCTGTCTCATTCACGCTTCTTCCCTCCTGGAAGTTCTGCCCTTACTTTGGCCAGAAAGGGCCTTCCGGGCTCTGTTTTCCGGCTCAGGCCAAGGCCTGCAGCAGGGAAGAGGTTGGGTTGCGGCGAGTTGAGCGAACAGTGCTTAGAATAAGGTGTGTCGTGTAAGAAGCTCATGGCGTTTCTCCACAGGGTATGGTGCTGTCCTCAGGCACAACTGGGCGTTGCAAGTGGGATTGCTCAGAACTCGTAAAGCACTCCACCCTATTTTTAAAAAAAAAAAAAAAAATTATATATGTGTGTGTGTATGCCAAATAACGAAATCCTCAAACTTCTGCAGCACTTGGCACAACTTGTTCATTCAGTAAGCTTTGGGGATTAAACGACGAGTAAGACATAAATCCTGTTGTTGAGTGACTCCCAGTCTAGTTAAGAAAAAGCTGCTGGGAACAGTTACTGCTTATTCAGTACTTTGTATATGCCATGGGTTTATGTAAGCTCCTTTAATCATCCCAGAGCCCAACAGAATGGATACCTTAAACACACACACACACACACACACACACACACACACTACTTTATAGTTAAGGTAACAGATGCAATGTTTGACCTAGATCACAGCCAAAAATTTGGAGGTGACAGGGAGGACCAGGATTTGAAACTCCTCAGCCTTTCAAATCAGGGTTTGAAACATGCTTCAGAGAACTTCACTGAAGATCCCCAGCCTGTTAAAAATGCGTATGAATACGTGCCCTATGCTGTCTGCCATTTTACACATTATCATTAATAGTTTTATTTGGTATATTTTTCATCATATTAAGAATAGTCACAAAAAATAAGAATAGTCACAGAAGGCAGTTAAATAATACAAGAGAAAAATCAGTGCCATATCATGTACATGACATTTCTTGTATTTTTTTCATTTGTGCCTTCTCCGTATCTCTTTAGCAGGTCCTTTGTCTTTTACATGCTTTTCCCGTTCAGGCTCCACCTCCACCTCCAGAGTTTATTGGATTAGATTCCCACTTGGTGGTCCTTGGAGAGCTCAGTCTCCATGATTTCCAAGGATATCTTGAGCTAGGACATTGTGTCTTACTGCGTCTTTCACAGACTCGTGGGTACTTCCACCTATGAAGTGGAGGCCATTTAGAGTTTGGGGAAGGATGAGACTAGTGAGGGCTGGAGGAGTCCAGAAAGTTCTAACCAAGAACCTGGGATTGGAGCTGCACTTGAAGGGACAGCCGTAATTTGAAAGGAGCCACAAGAAGGAACAAATTATTGTTTGCCTTTTATGATGAGTGAGTGCACATATTAGCCAATACTGTATTTTATTTTATTTTATCCTGGAGATTATTTGAGCAGAAACTATTCTTTCAAAGGTGGTCTTATGTAGAGCAGATGATGAAAAAAGAAGCCTGTTTGTATCATAGTATTTATATTCAAATCTGTCTTTACATCTGTAGGTGATTAGAGTTCTAGAATTGTCCAATAGGATGTACCTACATTAAAGAAAATAATTATTCAGACCTTAAAAAATACAGCGAATTTAATTTTCTGCTGTTTTTGAGTTAAATACAATAAGGCTATCTTGCTAGTTTAGTAGTTTAATTTGCCATTTAAAAATCTCTAATCAGTTGTCTAAAGCTGGTTTTGTAAATATTAATTTATGCTTTTGTGAACCTGTAATACTTTAGTAATAAGATAACTTTTTTTTAAGTCTCCCTTAACAATTTAAGTGTGGTCACGTTCTTACAGTCCATTAAAGCTAAACAGTAAAAAGGATGGAAGGATATTTGATCACAGCTTCACAAAGTAGGTTATTATATTTTGTATTACTCCGTTACACTAAATTATCATAGAGTTCTTCTTTTCCATAGACACCTTTTAACACGTGTATTACATAAAACCCTGATGAAAGGGAACAGGAAAGATCAGAAAGGAAAAATGGAACTGTTTTAGAAAATCTAGAGGATAAGAAAAAACATGGTTGAAGAATAAGCTGTAAACAGTCTAGGTTCTTTGGCATATCATTGGTTTCTCACTTTCTGCTGCAGTATATTTTATAATTCGCTATTTGGCATAGATGTATATACAAGCTAGACTGAGTGCCTTTTCCTCTGATTTTTAGTTTCTTGTTTCTTTCTAGGTGGACTCCCATTATTGTCCCAGCTGCTTAGAAAATATGCCATCAGCTGAAGCCAAACTAAAAAAGAATAGGTAAGGGGCAGCCCCGGTGGCGCAGCGGTTTAGCACCGCCTGCAGCCTGAGTGTGATCCTGGAGACCTGGGATCGAGTCCCACATCGGGCTTCCGGCATGGAGCCTGCTTCTTCCTCTGCTTTTCTCTCTTTCTCTCTCTGAATAAATAAATTTTAAAAATTCTTAAAAAAGCACCTTTAAAAAATAAAATAATAAAAAATAAAATAAAAAAGAATAGGTAAGACTGTGATCTGTTTTTTCTGTTTTCTCAACTGTTTTTTTTTTAATAGCTAGTAAGAAAATACATGGAATTAACTCTCATTTCTAACTAGCTGGTTTTCACTTTTTAGCATCACCTTTGCCAAAGATGAATTGTCCTTTGATTTTTTAAATTAGTTTTCTATTTTAGAACAGCTTTAAACTTAAGAATTAAGGTGAAGATGGTACAGAGAGTTCTGTGCACTTCACACACAGTCTCTCCTAGTAACGTCTTACATTAGTATAGTATATTTGCCTCAATTAATGAACGACATTGATACTTTATTATTAAATAAACACTTCATTTTATTCAGATTTCCTCAGTTTTTTCCTGTTCTCCTTTTTCTGTTCCAGGATTCTACTTAGGATACACACTTTATATTTAATAGTCATGTCTCCTTAGGCTTCTCTTGTTGTGACATTTTCTTAGGCTTTCCTTTGTTTTGAGGACCTTAAAAGTTCTGAGGAGTACTGGTAAGATATTTTGTAGAATGTCCTTTGATTGGAATTTATCTGATGTTTTTTTCATCAGCTGGGGAAATATGTTTTGGGGAGGAAGACAACAGAGGTAAAGTACATCTTTCATTACATCCACTGAGGGTACATACTATTAATAGAACTTACCACTGTTTATGTTAATTTTGATGACCTGGCTTGAACTCTCGTTTGTCAGGTTTCTCTGATGTAGGGTCGTTCTTTTTTTCTCCTTTTTTATACTGTACTCTTTGGAGGGAAAAATCACACTTACAGCTGACACTTAAATAGTTGGGAGTTATGCGCCCCCTCCGTGAGGGTTCTCTACATAAGTTATTTGGAATTCTTTTGAATGGCAGGTTTTTCTCTCTTCTCTCCTATTTAATTATTTATTTAAAGCATGAATATTGATTTTATGCATTAGGATATAATCCAGTACCACTTTTTTTTTTTTGCTTAGATTGTTCCAGCTTTGGCCATTGGGAGCTCTTTTAGTAGACTCCTGTATACCTTTGACATACTGCCATCATTGCATGGGGTGGGCCCGGGGGTTATTCATTCTTGGAGCATTTCCTTACTTTTCTGTCCTACAAGATACTCTAGTCTCATCCCAGGACTCTGCTTCAGTCTTTAAATTAGCAATTTCTCCAAGTAGCCCTGGTTCCTTTTATTGAAAAATGGTATTAATAAAAAACAAGATTTGGGTAGTAGGTGTGCTCATCCCACTGGATTTTTAGCTTAGCATGGAGATCCTTTCTACCATCATACCCTTAAGCCTCCGTGGATGTGAACCTCTATGACTTATCTTTCCTGAACCTGATAATTACCTCCTGATAAGCCAGACACTTTTTTTTTAATGTTGTTCACACACTAATTTTATCATTTAATCCTCAAAATATCAGTGAACAGTGGGTGGATACCATTATTATCCTCATATGAGGATGTTATCCAGTTGGCAAAGTATCACAGATAGAGTTGTGGAACAGAGCTTCAGAGCAAGTCCAGGACTGGAAGTGAAATCTTGATAATTTCAGATGGTGAGAAAGTTATAAGCAACAAGGCACAGGGCCCCTGAAGGGGAAGAGTAGGGCCTAAGGAGAGAACGGAAAGCCCTGAAAATGCAATGCTCCTGAACTGTTGCACCTTGATAGCATTGTTTGGTTTCTGTGTCAGCTCTCTGACACAGCAAATAAGCAGTTGTTTTCCAAACCCAATTTCACAGCTTATTGTGTTATTGCCTCTCAAGTTTTCCTTGTATAGCTGCTCTGTCCTGTGACCTCTCTCTTCCTCAGAAATCGTGGTCCGTGTAAGCCTAAAAAGAGTCTGAAATACTTAAATCCAGACTATTTAACAGTGATTTTCTCTGGAGTAGG